ACATGAATCTCAGAAAAAGAGATCTAGATTCTATTTTGGGGGACTTACAAACTCATGAAAAGATTATTGTATGCACATTGCAACAAATTAATATTTTAGGTGAGTTCTCTAAACTCCACCAGGCGAACGTCAGCCTGCAATTATGTGCTTTTCCCAGACTTAGCTGCGTCGCCCATACCTACCACTCAACCTCTGATGCAAATACTAAAAGGTAGGAGCAGAAGGAGACAGAATTAAAGCACTGTGATAACAAGTTAATGATGTTTAACAGGAAGGGTTAACCTCTGTCAAATTTAAGAAAACCTAAATTATAGTTGTTAAAAATACAGGTTGTAGCACATCTAAAACATTACGCTTTCTCTAACCAAGAGAAATGAAAAATAAACAATGACAGGATTTCAGTTATCTTGCTGTAAACTAAGTCTCTGTTTGTGGGAAGCAGTAATGTACAACCAGGATTTATGTCCCATTTATACAAATATTTTATTTGTCTTAATATCCTTATTAATTTAAAATTGGGCATTGATTTTTATCTGTAAAAAAGGAGAGAGGCAGACTAATATATTGAGAACAATTTGAAAAGCAACATTTATTTTTAAATGCTCCCTGAATTAGAGAGTTAAATATTTTAATAAGTTAAGAAGAAAGTAAAGGGAAAAATTCTAAGCACTGATTAAAATAATTGTGAGAAAAAAAAAATGTGATTACTAAAATAAACTTCTTCAAATGGATGTTTAATAAACAAATTAAGTAAGAGAAAATACAATGACAAGAAAGAGTTAATATCCTTAAAAATTAAGTCTCAAAATCTGAGCCTCGATAGCTAAACAGTTGCAAATCTGGGTAAATAATTCTCACACGTTGGTCTCATCCTCTTTCTCAGTCTCTCTCTCTCTCTCTTTCTTCCCCTCTTTTCTCTCTCCCTCTCCCCTTCTCCCTCCCTCTTCTCAGAGTAATGACTAATTATCACTTGAAAAAAATTAACAAGGTAATGAATAAAGAAGAAAACATATGAGAAAGAATGAATGTTATCTAATTGCCAAAAAGTTAATTATAATACTCAATGCAAAATGAAGTTTTAGCAGAACAAACTTTCTAACATACTGTCAGTGAAATATAAATACCTACACTGTTACAAATCCAGCTGGCAGTCTCATCAAAAACTCTTTGGTTTCAGTTTTGAAACAGTAAATCAACCATGGCTGTTCTGATCTAATGAATAAACTCTCAATTAAAAGAAAAGAAAGCTTCATAACAACAACTGCTGTTAGCTGGGAAACATGTACTTCATGCAGCAAATCTCCCCTCTTTACAAGAGAGGGGTGATACTGCACAAAGCAGGAAAGTGGGATTGCAACCCAGGGGTGTAAAATACCTGCCACTTCCTCTTGTCATGTTAATTTTTGTACAGTCTATGATTTTTGTTAAAAAATGTATATGCATCCAGCAAAAGAGAGGAATAAATTACATTCAGTGCCTTTCCATGATGGAATATTACACGTGCATTAAAGTGAAGTTTATTTAGGATTTAAAACAATGTGAGGAAGCATGCACGCCATAACAAGTGAAAAGGCAGAACGTAGAATTTCATGTCTGGTATTATTTCAACTACATAAATTGCATATCAAGAATATAATATGCAAAGTAAGAGACTACACTAAATGCCAACAGCGATTGTTTGGGTAGAGGCACTACAGGCAATTGCCCCCTCTTTTACGTATTTTCAATAACGAGCGTTCACTACATGAAATCATTTTTTCTTATTTTTTACATTGCAAACATAACAATGATCCTGAAAATTTTAGTGAATGCGTGGCCGGTAAAATGCCAACACCCTCAACTCCAGAGATAATCTCCATTCAGAGTTTTGTATATCTTAATATATATCCTGGTAGGCTTTTTAACATACATGAAATTGTGTAGAGAATATATGTGTCTACGTATTTTTAAGAGGAATGAGATTATATTAAATCTACTCTTTAGTAATTTTCTTTTTTCGATTCATAAGGTACCACAGATAGCTTTCCATTACTTTTATAATAAGAATTTTCTTTTTATGTCATTGCTGTTAAAGTGAAGAACGCTTTTCCATTATGCAGGGAATAGTAGCTCAGGACCAGTAGCTCCTGGACGAGGCATGTCCTCAGCAGCCCTGCCATGTCCAGCTCAGGGCTTGCTGCAACCTGGTGTCCTGAGACTGAAGAATGAGCAGAACAGCTTCTTGCTTCAGCTTCCCCAAGGAAACGCGTATTAATTAGCATTTTCTTTGCCCATCTAAAGTACAGTACAGACCCACATAGGACTTGGGGTGTCAGAATTATCCTTCTTTAAGAAAAAAATAAAATACAAGAAAAGAAAAACCACACTTCATTTAGTGTACATAGCAAAGGGTATCGTTATGTTGTCTCACAAATTATGTCAATCCTGTTCAAACTCTTGTCTTTGCTCATAATAAAGAAGGACTATTTGACATCATAGTATTCTATTGAACAAAATAGTTGAGTCATTTGGGGTCAAATGGGTCAAATGACCCAACATAAGTGCACATTTGCCCTAATGTGTACAAGTAGCAGTTTGTATAAGAAGACAAACTAACGATGTCACACTTAGCAGCTACAGCATATGATACCCACGCAGGAAATACTATCTGAGCTCACTTCATAAAGGGGCCACACCTCCTATCAACAAAGCTCACTGAGGGAATTATATGTATATATCAGGCCCTCCGTTGGCACCAGGACTAATGCACCTAGGATGTATACACTGTGTGTACATCCAATAGACGTCATGAAAATTGATGACAAAATTCCAACCATCCAGGCCAGTAGTTGTTAAGGGACCCTCACCTACTGGCCACTAAAACACACTCACACACTGCAGTCCAGGGATGTCCAACCTGCAGCCCATGGGCCACATGGAGATTATTTGAAGCCTGTTTTGCTTATCTGTGGTGTCCGACATCACAAACATTATGCACCTGTTTTTGTGCTGTTGGTGTTCATCAGCTTTTGTTAGTGTTTGTGTTTTTTTTTGGGGGGGGGGTTGCAGTTTTTGGATGGGACCAGGTTTGAACCCGCCACCTCCAGTATACGAGGCCAGTGCCCTACTCCTTTGAGCCCCAGGTGCCACCCTAGTGTTTGTGTTTTTAATGTGTGACCCAAGACAACTCTTTTGCCAATGTGCAACAGAAAAAAACAAGAAAATGTTATACACCCATCCTTACACAATGGGATCTTTAAATATTCCAAGGATCATGTAGATCAGTCTTTAGCAAGCTACATCCCGCAGGCCAAATCCAACCTGCCACCCGTCTTTGTAAATAAAGTTTTATTATAACACAAGTATACTCACTTCTTTATAAATTGTCTGAAGCTGCTGTCTTGCTGCAATGGCACAGGTAAACTGATTCAATAGAGACTCTGTGGCCTACAAATTCTAAAATATTTACTCCTTCACACTTCTTAGAAACAGCTTACTATTTCCAGATTTACACTACTAAGTGAAAAACTGGTTTCTTAATATTAATTCTGAGTTTTCTTGAAGGACCTGAGTATTTCCATTAAGGTAGGAAAATAGTACATGTCTTTTCTGATTCTAGGAAGGGATTCCTAGTTCTAAGAGATAGTATTGTGCTCCAGTTAAAAAAAATAGATTCAAGTCTCTGCTTCCAACTATGTGGGAATCTTGGGTGGATTTACTTAAGCTCTCTGTGTCTGTGGTTCAGCTTCCTCATCTATAAAGTAGGGATCATAGTAGTACCTACCTCAGAGAGTTGTTACAGAGATTGAATATATATCACTCAGCACAGGGCCTATTACACAGTGAAAAATGACCGAGCCAATACATTTCTTCTCATATGACAATGGCCAAGCCAGCACAGGCTTCCTGTGGTCTTTCCTGTGCCTTGCAGCCCTCAGGCTCAGGAGACAGAGCCCCACCCAGGCTGGATGCAGCACTAGTTCAGTCACAGTGTGAGCCCGAATCTACGTGGGCTGGAGAAAGACACAGAATGCAGACCCTCTATGTCTTCTGTGAAATATAAGGGCTCGGCGGAAGAACCTCCCATCCCAGCTGAGCATTGCTGACTACGAAATTCACTGAGCCTCCTTCCCAATAAAAGAAAATGGGGGGCTGGGAACTCAAACATCCCAGGGCTGGAACAGTCATATATTATACAGAAAATATCTCTGGATTACCTATAATCACCAGGCACAAACACAGGCCTGCTGCCACAAGATGGTAATTTAGTTAGGGAGAAAAATAAGTTAGTGAAATAAGGTTGTGTGCTTTCAGTGACTAGCGGATGTAACGAGACTCTGTCTCTCTCACTTTCCCAGGCGTTCATCCCTCACACCACCCCTCACCCTGCTCCTCTTCAACCCCTCTCTCTCTTCCAGTCCCTCTGAAAGCAGGCAACAGGTACCACAGGCCGGAATATAACCCCTCGGTCTGGGGTGCCCCGAGATGCTTAAGGATCCTGCAGAAGCAGCACAGCTCAGCCAGCCTTTAGGGGGAGCAGAGCAGATGGGTCCCTGTGTGTCCAAGAGCCAGAGGAATCATGACAATATGTGGAGGCCCAACCAGGAGGATCCCTGAGGGCAACAGAAGGAGTTTAGGGCTTACCCAGCAGGTGTGGGGGCCTGCGGAAACCCCCAAACAACAAAGGAGATGACAGTGGATGGACTGTGAATAACTCAGGGCGGAGCTCAGGTGGACTGCAGAGGAGACCAAGGTGACACCGGGGCAACCCCAGGGGGGTGGGAAGATGCTGAGACTCAGCAGCCCCTCTCAGGTCTCCGGGTTCCTCACTGCTGCTCAGTGGGCTTAGCTCAGAACAGTCTCACCATCGTGAAGAGTTCTGAATGTTTCTCTTTCTGAAAGCTTACTCATTCACTACTACCATTTTAGCAGCAGAAATAAGTCAAGCTCATACGCTATCAAAGTGTCTCAACATACGATTTTTTTTATCTCCTCTCTTCCTCTGTAGATGTCTCACTTACCAAGGAGAGATGAGGCAGAGGCTGCGTTTCCTCAGGCATGAATCTCGCTTAGACTCCACAGCCGTGTGGGCTCTTAAGCCCAGGTCTCACACACCAAAGCTTCACAAAAGAAAAAGAAGAGAGAAATCTTGTTAGCCCATTTTGAAAGAGGATGGGGTCATTGCTCACCAATTCTACAAAGTTTCAGTAATACCCTGAAGAACCAGGGAAAGCTGCGTTAGCAGTGCCAGGCTCAGAGCAGAGACATGCAGGACAGCTCGGGAATCACAAATCTGAAAGCTCTATCTTAGAACCACATGCACCCTGCCTTCTTGTGAAAAAGACGAATTGAAACCTCAAATGCTATTAGCAAGGGAGAACAACTCTCAGAGGAATCCAAAAATACTATTATTTTAAACCCACCAGGATCACTTTAAACACCCTGAAACTCAAATTCAGGTTGATTGTGTGAATGCATCCATTTGATAACAGCCCTTTCCTCTCATTTTTTGGAATGTAGAATACCACCAGGGATACATTTCAAAAACAGGAGAAAAAGGCAGTAGACATAGAATAAACTACACCAGAAATTTCAGTGTGTGTTTTTATTTGCATATGAATTTATTAGGTCTACTACAATTGTGAGAATGTATGGGGAAAAGAATTATAAATGATAACAAAATTCACTTGACCCAAACCACATAAACCTGTCCCATCTCCTCATTCAATTTTAAATATAACAATTCCAAAATCTTGATGCCATCAGTGGATAGAAACACGTCTGCTGGAACTTGAAAAAACAGGTAACTTTCTGTGTTATCCGCACGAGAAACGTGGCCACTGTCAGTGAAGGGCGCCTGTGACTTCAAACACCGCCGTGCAGCCGCCTGCTTTTCATCTAGGTCCTTTCCTTCTTCCCTTCCCACTCTGCTCCTCTGGCTGCTGTGAATCTGAAACGCCCTGATGTTCCACATCCCCACCCCTGCTCTCGGGGAGCATCAAGAACAAGGACCAGAAAACGGGAAGAACTGCCCAGAACATTCTGCTCTTCCTCTAGGCAATGATCCCCACAGGGTCCACTTCAGTAATGATCTAAAGACCATCTGCCTGCAGAAAATAAACTAATTTCCAGCAGCTGAAAATGCATGAAATTTTCTGTCTGCCCTGTTCGAAGTCCTAGGGGCCAGGGGGTAGCAACAAGGTGAGGCTGCCCCCGTGAGGTATCCACCTCCAGAAAGAGCCTTTGGTGGGTCCCTGAGAAGCCAGGGGCGTCCGAGGCACCCCGTTTGGAAGCGCCCATCGTGGAGCGCAGGTGCACCCAGGCTGTGCATCATTGCCGATTCTCCCGTCCCAGCTGAGGCTTTGGAAGTTCATGACATCATCCTTTGGAAAGGGCGAGGTACAGATGCAAATCCTTGAGGCCAAAAGAGGAGCCAGGGAAGTACATTCAGGCTGAGCAACGTTCCCAAGAGTGGCCAGTTTCTTTTTCACAAAACTCATAACAGATCACCCTTGGATGTGGCAACAGGATACAGGAGTTTAGGGAGGGGAGGGAAGGGGAGAGGGGAGGGTAATTGGTGGGACCACACTTATGGTGCATTTTACAAAGGTACATGTTAAATCTACTAAGTGTAGAATCTCAACACAATAACTAAGAAAATGCGGTAAGGCTATGTTAACCAGCTTCATGAAAGTATTTTAAATTGTATATAAAACCAGCACATTAGACCCCTAATTGAATTAATGTACACAGCTATGATTTAATAAAAAAAGAAAGAAAGAAAACTTCTTTACTTCATGGTAGTTTTAAATACATGAGGTAGTTTCCTCTCTTGAGCCCTGAAGTCTGCTTTACAACCATTTTTACTAAAATTTCCTGGTCACTTTTTAGATCTTTGTTGAAATTTAGGGAATGAAGTCAGACAGAACCACTAGTTGATGCCATGAATACCTGGATATGTCTAGGAACCCCCACGCATCAGAATTAAATTAAAATCAGGGCTGACAGGTCTTCTATCCTAGTGAGGTCACAAATTAGTTGAAACAGATGCTCAGATGGACATCTAAGCCACACCTGCAGAACACAGCCGGTCTCTCGCCTGGCAGAGGAGCCAGGTGCCAAAAAGGAACCCTCAGAGTTCAGGGTCAGTGCAACCAGAAGGCACAACCCACAGGAGGCAGCGTCCCTGCCCAGTGCAGCAGGAACAGCCCCCAACAGTACCAGCCCACCCCTGAGCCTTCAAATCCCACCCTCTCCCTTCTGAAAAGGCAGCACACACAGGGGAGAGCTCATGTGGCCTGGGGGGAGCACAGCTCTGTAGAATTTGCCGTCTAAATAGGAAAGCAATCCCAGCAGCAGGGTTTGGGGCATCCTAAAGGGTCTTGACTGTGCCTGTGTTTACATCAACAGTCCAAAAAATGGATTTTTTTACCAGCCTACACTTGATGGCCAAGTGTACACCAAGACCTTCTACTCCTGAGAGTCAGCCCTGCCTAAGTAGGAGTTCTGCCCTGTTCAGGAAGACAGGACATTCAAGAGGACATCCCCTTGTGCCCAGGAGCAGACCAGGGGCAGAAACCACAGCCACAAGGTAGATGCTTTAAGAAACCGGAAGCCAAAAGAACAGAAGAGGACTCCACGGCCAGGCTCTCCTGTCCTGCTGCCGTGAGGTCCTAAGTTAGCTGCTATTTAAACATAAATCACTGCCCCACTTCCTAGAAAACTGTGAAGATAGTCAAAGGGAAAGAAACTACAAAGCCCCAGAGGCTCATTCCAGACTGGAAGTCAGAATGTTTTAAAGCAGACATTTAACTACCCATTTAATAAGTAACTGCTTATGTTTTATTAATATATAAATTTCCCTGTTTGACCCAGTTCCATATTAACCTTATTCTTCTCTCTTTTAGCTTAGCATTAACCTTGGTACAAACAACCTCCCAAATCTTTGATGTCATAATTCTCAGAGATCTGCTCCAGAAAAACTGCCACCATGAACATATATACAGAGGCTGACAAAAAAATGTATACCCATTTTAAGATACATCCTTTATATTATGGAACTGTCACTAGGACACTTCTGACTTACAAACAATTACACTTACACTTTCCTGCAGTATTTTTCTTTTTTTTGCCCGGGGCTGGGTTTGAACCCGCCACCTCCGGCATATGGGGCCAGCGCCCCACTCCTTTGACCCACAGGCACCGCCCTACACTTACACTTTTCCCAGAAATTTTACCCTGAAGTCACTTTCACAGGACATTCAAATTATCTCTAAATAGAGTTGAAGGAGTAAGATTAAAGCATCAATTAAAACTTAATTAGTGCCCTTCAGCACATGATTTTCTGCTAAAATCTGTAATTTCTGGTGGCCCAAAATGAAGAGATCTGTGGATCTGAATATTCTTGCAGAAATCACAGGCCCCCTGAAGGGGAGCCTTCACCCTCAGATACAGGCAAGAAGTTAGCACTTGCTAACTGGCTGGCTGGTCTTAGGGGTCAACCTGGAGACCATCCACAGTGAACATACATTGGAAATGAAAGGACATGAATGAGACCACCTGGCATTAAAAAGTTTAGTGGAGTAATGGAAAGAAACCCCACCAGATCTAGGATGAAGAAACCTCTACGCTATTGGGCCAGGGTTTTCCAGTGGCCACGGAGTTTCACAGCCAGACCTCTGTCTCACCACCAGTCTGTTCCTCAATATACACGCACAGCACACCCTCCCGACTACACTGCTGGGTGATTAGAAGACAAACAAGAGCCAATTAAACTCTCAGGAGCTCACACAAGACAGTGTGTGATGTTTCTGCTACATAGTTTAGTAAATATTTTGAAACTGGAGGGAAGCAAGGTTACTTCCAAGCAAGAGTCAAGGGGCATGGATCAGAGTGCCTGCTCACAAGGCCTCTCCCAGGAAGACCAAGGGCCTGAGAGGCTGGAAGGAGCCACTCCAGGCAGCTGATAGATGACATACAGACTGTGGGAGCATGAGAAAGAGATGAGACTCCCCTACAGGAAGGGAGAGGTGCCGAAGGTTCAGTAAGACATCAGGATGAGTGGGGTACTCAGGGGATCGAGAGGGCAGCTCCGCAGAGGATACATAAGACCAGGAGGGAGAGTGGGGCAAGAAGCTGTTACCAAGGAACCCTAATTCCAAGGAGATGTGCGTTAAGGATTAACCTCGTCCATCCCAAGGGAAGGACAGGCCCTAGCCCCATTGCTGGAGGTCACCTGTAAGCCCTTGGGATGTCCTGCCTGATGAGAGTCTGATTTTCTGGAGCTGTAGGCCATGAAGACAGTCTATGGGAACAATGTGGTGTGTGGCTGTCACTTCCAACAGTCTCCGTCAGTCCCTAAATCAACACTGGACATGCCGGGTAGGACTGGTGGGGTCTGCACACCACAGACAGCTCACGTGAGCTGGGAGGTTGTCCACAGACATTCAAGAACAGAAAGTGTGGGCAGCAGAACAGAGACATCGAGGCCAAGTGCACGGTGGGGAAGGAAGAACGGGAGGAGAGGAAGAGGAGGGCACGGAGACACTTGCAGCAGCCGACAGAGATTGCTGGATACTCGAAAAGGTGCGGCCTTTAAAAACATAGGATATACTTTATCATTATAAACTATACTTTAATTGTTTCACCTTGTTTTAATATATTTCATGTCTATTTGAGGTTTGCAGAATGTTATGGGACACACATGGATAGTAAAATGGTTACTATAGTGACGCAAAATAGCATATTGATCATGTCACAAAGTCACCTTTTTGCCACAAGAGCAACCAAAATCTACTTACTAAACCCAAATCCAAAACCTGTATAATTGTCACTAGAGTTCTCACGTGTGTGTTACAGCTCTTTGAAGGAATAAGCAGGTGACCGCAGGCAGGCGGGGCACAGGGTGGGGGGATGGAGGGCAGCTCCAGGCTCCCTTCCCCCACAAAACCTCAGCTGCCGCCTGTCCCCACATCCCGGAGCGGATATTCCAGAACACAATTCGAGAAGGAAAAGCAAAACACGTGGAAATCTTGAGACGATGAAGGACAATGGTCTGGAGGAGCAGCCCCACACCCCTCCCCTCTGCTGGCTGGGGTCAGG